GGAAGACATCTGAAATATGCTCACCCTATTTGATAACGTTCCACTTGCACAAAATGAGTCAAAACGAGTGTTAATGCGAATTATTCCTACTATTAAGTAAACGAGGAGACTAATGTTTAACATACAGCTGTTAAGAATCGAGAATTTTAAAGAAATAATGTAAGAAAACTGAGTTTTGTTCGATAAAATGTTTTCATTATTCCACAATGAGATATCGTACTTACTTGTGAAAAATCACATCACATACCGGATACCACTCACTTCTGTAATCGCGCACAATAATATTCCACCACCAATTAGACATCTGAAAAATAAAAACACGTTCAGGTTAAAATTAAAAAACTTTTATTTTGACATCACAAATTAAATTTAACGACATAAATATTGACAAATCTTTTATCTAATTTGAGTTTATTATTCGAATACAATGCAATTATACTTACTTTTGTTTGCCAACTTGGAAGTCTGTGCGTTTCGTGTGGGTGCTCATGCTCACCGTGTTTCTTTCTTAATTATGACCACTCGTAAACAGTGCTGCCGTGGTTTTGTGTCCGGTGGCCAGTGGAAGGCAACTGTATCTCTGTGGGTACGCGTCAAAGTGAACTGGAGCTCAGCAAGGCTATCACTAAAATAGAACCTGTCTGATTTGGCAGCCAAAAATATGTGATAACCGCCCGTTATTATAAAAAAAAAAAAATTAAAATGGTTGTTGACTACTTACATCTTATAATTGCATTTTTATATTTTGTTGTATTCGCATATATCTATACATTATTCTGATCACAACTTTTCACGCACATGCACACACATATTCGGCAGAATTTGTTTTGTTTGTATAATTTTATTATCTTTTATTATTTATTTTCTTTTCCTTATTGAGGGGCGGTACCGCCGTCCGTGAGTCACTGCAGGGTGCCACCTGAAAACCAGCGTTGGGCAGGAACGCTCAACTATATGCTGAGGTGGTCGACCTTTTGGCCTGGGCACGCGCACTTTATTATTTTTATATCTCGTGTTTTATATATATATACCTCTATATATAATTATACGCTTTTTTTTGTTTTTAGTTTTTTTAGTTTCGGTTATTATTCTAATTATCTTTTGTTATGTTTTAATGATTTTTGTTCATTTCTTTTCTCTTTCATAAAATCTATTATTAATGTTTTGTTTTTATTTTCACTGTATTTTTTATTCGTATTGTAATGATCCTTGACTTCGTGTGCCAATGGCCAAATAAATGCATTTTCTTTCTTCTTTTTTTCTTTAACAAATTTTCGAAAATAACTTGCCAGCCCTATAAACTGGCGTACTTCGTGAACATTCTTAGGTAGCGGAAAGAGTTTTACTGCATCAGTTTTGTATTTACCAGGTCTAATACCCTCACCACAAATTTCATAACCAAGGTATTCTATTTTCTCTTAAAAGAAAACACATTTTTTAGGATTAAGAGTTAGTTTAGAATTTCGCAATAAATTAAAAACTTTTTCCAGTTTCTCCATGCCCTCTTGAACTGTTTTAGAAGGAACCAGCAAATCGTCCATGTACGCTAAAACCAAATTTTGACCTACCCCATTCAGCATGGAATTGATTGCTCTTTGAAATACACTAGGCGCGTTTGCTAATCCGAAAGGCATACGATTGTATTCATATAGACCGTCCGGAGTGACAAACGCCGTCAAATGTTTGCTCTCTTCAGCTACAGGAATTTGATAATAACTTGACGCAAGGTCTCAACTAGTAAATAAACTATTTCCTCCCAGACAGTCCAGTTTGTCCTCTATGCGAGGTAAGGGGTACTTATCTTTTAAAGTTTTTCTATTAAGCGCCCGGTAATCTACGCATAAACGTTTCTGTCCATTTTTTTAATTAACTAATAATACGGGGCTTGCATAAGGAGATGAACTCTCCCGAATTATACCGTTATTAAGTAAATCCCCAATTATTTCTGAAAGCTGTTCTTTCTCTTTTAGTGACATGTGGTACGGGTTGTATACTACAGGTATATCATCTTTTAATTTAATTACCATTTCAGTCAAATTTGTTTTACCAAGCTCAGATAAATCAACCGCAAAACAGTCCCGGTACTTATACAGAAGTTGTGTTAAATTTTCCATCTCTAACTTTGTTAAGTGTGTCCCTACATTTATATCATTTAGAGGCTTAGGATTTTGACTAGTAGTCGCGTTTCATCGCGTTGCATCAAACGTTTCATTGTAATCTAAACCTCTGGCCATAGCTTGACCTTTTTTTGACACAAAGTTTGGTATTAGCCAAATTTGTTATCACTATATAGCCAGAACCATCTAGATAATTATATAATCCAGGTAAAACCAAGAACTTTTTGTCATCATTATAGCGAAAACCAGATGGGACGTATAGAGATCCAGAGAATTTAATAAATGTAACTACTTCTACTGGCGATGTAGTGTTAGGCTCAATCGTAGCATCTTGGCTCGAATTAAGTTTAATCTTAACAGAATAATTATCAGCAATGTTCAAGTTAGGCGCCTCATAAAACCGTAAATTATTTGAGGTCTTATATAAAACAACATTTGGTAACTCGGTAAATAATTGACCAATAATGACGTCATATGGCATATAATGATCTGACACCACAACAAATTCAACTTGAGCAGATATGTCATCGACCGTTATTAACCCCCTAACTGTCCCAACAGGTTTCACACTAGAATTACCGAATCCTCGTAGATTTGGGACATGTTTACCTTTGTCATAATCTCCAAAAATTGTATTCGAAAGACTCTCTTTCAACAACGTGCAATTACTGCCTAAATCAATAAACCCCTGTATTAGCGTTCCATCAATGCTAATCTCTTTATAAAATTTATCAGTATCTATGTCGCTTGATTGTATACGCATAACGTTTTTATCACCAGATGGAGCTGTGATTTGTAAAAGGTTTATATCTCCACTGCTATCTGTCATATATTTGACTTGAAACGACAATCTTTACTTATATGACCTACCCTACGACAGATGTGACATCATAGGTTTATTACATTTCGTCCTAATGTGACTTCGCCACAATTAAAACAAACAACGCCTGGTCTTGAGGAAGTTGTGCCACTATTTGGCAATTCTTGTTGGGATCCGACCTCTTTATTATTAATTTTTCGTCTAATTGACAGATTATTATTATCACTTTGGGCCAGCGTTTTTAAATATGAAAACAGTTGTTCGGGTTCCTCAAAACGGCATGCATTTGCACTCATCCTAACAAACTTATCATCAATACCATGTACTAAGCACCCTACAGCTTTTCGTCCGAGTATCTCGTATCTGTTAATCAATATCATCTTTTCGTACTAATATATGTCCAAAGGCTGACCTATTCGACAGCGATACTGTAACATTTTTTGCAGCATATCTCCATAGTTTTCCGTAGACGGAAATGCAATTTTTAATTTTTCGGTCCACTGTTCCCATGTAAACAATAATGAAGGTAAACCCAGATATCACCGTTTGGCTAAACCTGTGTGTGAGCTTAGCTAAAGCATAGTGACGAATTTGGGTATCGTTCCAAGAATATATGTATTTGTGCACATTCATTGACTTTATGGATCCATGATTCAACATTCTGGGACCCATCTCTGGGATCGAACTCAGGTATAACGTTAATGTGCGTTGAAAACATATTATTCATTGGAATTTGTACTCCCAGCGTTGGATTCATCACCACATGATTATTAATACAAGTTCGTTGCATTAACGGGGGAGTTTTAGTCGCGGACCTATGTGTATTATGTATTTATTTGTGAGGAATCAATTTTAGTCTTTGAACGACGATGATAACTTTTGTCTTTTCTTGATTGCAATTTAGGATTTTTGTGCCGCTTGTTTTGTTTTATATCACTAGACGTTGACAAATTAGAAGAACTAGCAATGCTACTAGAATATTGACGGTGATGTTGATGTTTAGACGCATGTCTTTTCCGAGACCTACTCTGTCTGTTAGATCCCATGGTTAGCAAATGTCTATATGTAATCTCTAAGTCTAAATGTAATGTCATAATATCCTTTTTTTACGCTCAAAGGTTCGACCATCATGACGAATCCTTTTCGCGCCAACAGTGTTGCCAGTGGCAACACTGTTGCCACCAAGGCACCAGGGTTACCAACTCCTAAAACCATTTACCCCTAACACCAAGATGAAATCTCCCTAAATTACCCTAAATGCAATATTCAATACACCCAAAAAAAGCCCCATATATTTTTGTAACTATTCAAGGCTAAGCAACAATGATACTAGCGCCTTCAATTTTCATATTGATTGTGACGATCATGAATGTTAGTTAAAAAAGCACTTCTAAAGAATTTTTGTTTAGTAACAATGCTTATTTGTTACACACGAGTTATGTTTCTGCCACCGACAGAGGGTGCAAATGGAAACTATGATCATTTTACTAAATTTATTATAATTAAAATTACATGATAATTCCTAAAGTCTAACTAACCTACGAGCGAATGCGTTCGATATTAGAACGACACTGATTTCTTTTCTTAAAATTATTTCGAAAGAAGGTTTTCAATAAAACCTATTGAGGTTAAATTTAGTGGGGTGATTGCTGATGCAGCGATTCGCAGCTGGGCACGAGGCGGTGACATGAGGAGTTGACTCAGCAGTTTGGGTGTTGCAATACTTCGTTGCATCAAAGTAGGTCTAATGTCCTGATTCAGCAGATATGGTCCTCGTGGCTCGGCGTTGATCACGGTGTACGTGACCATTTTTAGCAATTTATTATGGAAAATATATAATAATGTTCAAGTAAACATGGAAGTACTTTTTTTAAAACTCGTAATCTCTACAGTCAATATAAATCATGTGGCGGCGCTAGTTTACTCTAAGTGAGTTTTCCGATTAATTAAGGTAAATAAAACATAACTTTATGTATTTGAATATTTTTTTGTTTACTAACCATCGACATTATCAATTATTGTGAACAAATCACTCAAATCTTGACTTTCACATTACATTATATGACTGCAACATTTTTTGTGTTGGAGTAAATGTGACGCAAGAACCATGTCGTTTTAAGGCAAATCTCGTCATCAAAATACTTTGCAACATTTCTATGGACCACCGATTGCGTAATTTGTTTTTTACTGTATTATAAATAGAAAAAGCGCGTTCAACGCTAGCGTTAGAAAATGGCACTGTTATTAGTGCTAGTGCAAATTTTGCTACATTTTCAAACCGCTTTTGCCCACCAGCGTCACAGTCATCGAACACTTCTTTATAAAATTTTGCTGTTGTTGTTACATCTGTCCATTGCTTGTTCGTCAGCTTATTCCACTCTGACACCACCTCATTTTTGTTTCCAAATATATGGGCTCGTTCAAAAAGCGTTACTACTTTTGAAATGTCGGGCTTGACTTGGGAGGTGGCGACTTTTGGGTGTAGATCTGCGATCAACTTTAAAGTAGATAAGTTTTCCGGCAGCCGTTTTTTAATTTCCTCTGCTAGACAAATCGAGAAACCCTTGCATCTTTCTCTCACGTCATTCAAATCACTTTCTTCGAGTTCTTGAGATATTACTTAAAAGTCATAGCAAAAATAAATTGATGACGTGTGTATGAGATGTTGTTTGAAATTAAAATCGACAAGTTCAGACTCTGTTAACCTCTCTAACTGAGAGGGTACAACAAGTTTTTGAAGTAGGTTTTTGTACATTAAAAACAAGTCTTCAAACAATTTTACCGGTTCAACGTTATCACTTTGAAAAAGTAAATTCAGTTGAATAACATTTTTCAATTCGTTTTTCAAAAAAATTAAAAACGCTTTAAACGGTAATCGCTTCATAATATCATGTAGTTGCTCCGCCATGTAACACCTATCTTCTGATTTGGCAAGAGAGAAAAGTAATTTTAGTTTGGTCCAATATTGTAGTGACAGCCTCAACGTTCTAGCCACCGTGTCCCACTCAATCCTTGAATTTTCTTTGGTGATCTACTGTCATTCATTGCCTCAAATAGATCTCTATACTTTTCTAAGCGTTTAGGGCTGTAGCTAAACCAATTATGTGCTTCTCGAACTAAAAATTCTAACTGTCGAGGTAAAAGTTTTGCTGCATTTTCGGCACACAAATGAAGTGAGTGACTCACGCATTTTACTATGACTATATCAGGTAATTCACTTTTTAATAGAGCCGTTACTGAATTATGTTTCCCGACCATTACATTGGCTCCATCGACACCTATTCCGACCATGTTTTCTATTTTCAGCCCATCTCTTGTGAGTTGGTCTTTGATAGCATCGTAAACTGTTTTTGCATCGCATTCTCTTAATTTGATTAACCTATAGAAAGTTGTGACTATATCATTGTTTTTATTTGAATAAAATCGCACCATGATGCATAAAACTTTCTGTGTTGAAAGATCTGTGCTTTCGTCTATGATAATTGAATACGGAGACTCTCCTATCTCTTCTATTAAGTCACTCAATAAGGTGGGGCCAAGCACATTTTTTATTATCATAGAGCATTTGGTGCGATGCAGTCTTAAATTCTTCAGGGCATCCGACGATGGATCTAACTGGGGCAGCAATTCAATCAGATGATCTACTGTCATCACCGAAGTATGTTCCGCAATAAATGCTGCAATTTTTATTTCTGCAGTTTTGGTTTTATCGGATAGTACTGGTTTATAAACCATAGGCAATAGTTTGCAGGATTTTGCAGATTTATCTAATGCAATTGCTTTTTTAGGTTTTTCTGTTAAAGCATGTTTTAATAAAGCTTTTTTATGCGCTTTTAATGAAATGCGGCAATATTTACAAGTTGCCAATGTGCAATCAGTTACATCTGGAGAAATCCAATCTGAAATCAAATAATAAAATAAGTATTTACTGGAAGTTACAAAATGACTCATATTAGGTTAGTCACAAACTTATTATCTAGCTTTAATAGTTTCCCACAAATGTGGTAATTGCTTAGACTATGGCAACACTTAAGCACATTGCTGAAAAGGTTAGGTGCCAGAGCTGTATACTTAAAACTATCTTTAAAAAATGGGGTTAGTTAGCCATGTAGGTTTATATTAGGAGACGACTCTTGTTAAAATTACATATTTATTTTTCATTATTTTCCGAACTAAATATGGACATGCTGATTTGACAAACAAAACAACAAAAGCCACCAATAATCCAGCACCAAATCAAAACAAAACACCATGCAATCCACTTAAGCATAGATAGCCCACAGGCACGTCCAGCCAAATAAGTACTTGGTTCTTCTATAAAAAATACCTGTTTTGATCAAATATTTCAAGTTTTGTTGTATCCATTGTCGAAGTTGGAGACTTAACTAAGTTCTGTTTTGTCCTGTGTAGCATTATGGTGTTGATTTATCTATTGTTAACCCAAATAAGTTTTAATTAATTAAGAAGGTAAAAGGTAACGTAAACAATATAAAACCTAACCTATTAACTGTAAATAAATATCTACTGTATTTTGTCAATTGTAAAAGAAATAAATTATTAAGTAGGTATTGCAATATAAATACGTAACAACCGTAACTATAATATTATTTAAATTATACTTAATGGATTTTAAGTAGGTACCTTATAACTCCGGGTCTGTCTCCCAAGTATTTGTATATTTTTGGCAGTACTTTTTTCTCTCTTCCTTTTCTTTCGGCATAGTGGCACACACTATCACACACCAGCGCAATTTAAAAATAGGTATGAATAAAATTTCGAGTCAGGAACAACGGACATTCATACATTTATTTTGTTTGTAGGTAATTTACACTGATATGATAAGAGTATGGATAAGAAACAACTAGGAAAAAATCGTGCCTACATAAACTTCACTTGGTCACCCGTAATGGCGGATAGAACTAGGGATGTAACTTTTAAAACTGTAGAAATATCGATATTTTAGAATTGGTTTTAATTGACTTATCAATAAAATATCATTATTTTATGATTCATCTGGATTTAATTTTTATGTAGCTGCTAAACATTACCAACATATTAGCGAAATATATTTAGTAGTTGCTGCGTGCACTGTCACTCCAGTCGATCGTGCCTATACATTCACATCATAACTTTCACGATACTTATGTATCGAAATTCATGAAAAGGATTTTCCATCAACTGGTCAATATTTATATACTTAAGGTTAAGTAATTTTTGAGGGTTGAAAAATAAAACTGTATCAAAGTATTCATAAAATCAAGATTTATAATATACAATATCTTCGTATTTTTCGTAGTGTTTCCCTGTAATGTAATCTGCAAAACCATCTTTCGAGAAGACTCCAGAACTGGTTCCAAGTTCATTTTCATGCACATATCTGGCTAGAGGCTGCAACATAAATAGTATAATTTAACTTACTTGATCCAATTGAACATAGATTTTTCTATAGATTCTATAGGTACTGTACTAAGCTCTGAACGAAAATGTTTGTACATTACAATGATAGTGATAGATAGCGGAGGAAAACAGAAACATATAGGTACAAGAACCCGGTTAGTTATGAACTTAATATAAATGTTAAATAAAATGTTAAGTTTGCACCTCTTCAAAAAATGCTTCCAAAACTAATATAACAAAACACATAATGAATCGTTTACATTATGATTTACCAATAGAGCTTGTAGCGATAGGGCCCCATCACGTAGATTTACTATTAATTTATTGTTCGGTTAAAACATTAATCTTCAAAATAAAGTTAACAAACAAAGATATGTTTCCTTCTAGTATCTATATTTCCCACATTAATTATTTCCAGCCAAGAACTTCTGCGTGGTTCAAGCACAAACTAAAAAGAAAATTTATAATATTATTAAAATTATCGGCAGAGTTCGACACATTCTAATAAATACTCTAAAAATACCCTAAAGTTATATTTCATTTGTTTGTTTCATTTGAATCCGTCGAGCGGCATTTGATAAAAAAATCAATTTTGACAAAAATGCATTTCCCACAATATTATTCCTTATCTCATATTGTACAAAAATTATTCTCTATTGTATTAATTATTTATTACATTACGTAGGTATTGACGATGGTGGAATTTTGTCGATAAAATGAAATTTTTGACGAGTACTTAATGTTTTTTGTATTTTGTCATTATGTCAAATTAATGCACTTTATCATTCAGAATTTAGTATAGTTCTTTGTTCTACTTTTGACGCATTTATTATGTACGATAAAATTATCGATACGGGAACAATCATGTACATCACTATTTTTTAATGAAAATTGTTTTAGACGTATTTCAACTAAAATTAATGAAAATAAGCACTGCATTAGTTAGAAAAGTATTGTATTTAGTCAATTTGCAGCAACGACACTTGAATAGTTTGAAAAACAGAGATATTTTAATGAAAAATAACAGTACTTACCGATGTAATGTTACACCTGCCGGTTTAGTAATATTTTTAGTGCTACATCCAATAACACTGCACCCGGGCATACTTCTTCTCACTAACCAATAATTTCTTTGTTTACCACGCACAAAAACAACAGGAATTCTACAAATTTTCGTAACAAAATATTGTTGACAAATGCTTTGACAGCTGATGTACCACTGACATGCACTGATAACAGGGACTAAGATGGCCAATTCGGCACAACTAGGTTTTTCTGATGACGTCAAAAAATTATGGCCAGAATGACAATAATGTGTTGTCTCTTTCTGCATAAGCAAAGAGACATAAGTAAAAAAGAAACAACAGTATGTTTATGAATTTACCGTCAAGATGGATCCTAAATTCTACCCGTAGACAATAGCCAGACATCTATGTTATATTTATAAATCTATGGTAATTTATGAAATGAACGAATTTTACCACAGACTAATAAGGGAACAGTCACCGCGTTAACGTAACCACTTTTTTCTTGGTCTGTGGTAACCATCATAGATTTTTTTAATTTAGTTCTTCCATGGGCATAAAGTAGGACTATGATCAAAAGGCATTTCAGTGACATTGATAGGGGGCGCTGTTCGATCGAAAAATGTCAAAATTGCTGTCACTTGTATAGGAAACAGCATAAGTTCAGATTTTTGCCACCCGCCAATTATGCGTTGGGCGATTACAGATAATGCATTATTTTATTCCGGAATACCATAGACATTTTGTTTTTTCGTTTTGGTCAGTCAATTACATTGTAGTCGTGATGCTAGAAATTATTTACGCCCCTAAAAAAAGTCCCCAAATTATTTAGGGCCCTAAAAAGTCCCACTAAGCATAATTAGTCCCTAAATTTAGGGTTAAAAGCCCTAAGTTGGGAAGCCTGCAAGGCACCAACCATAGATAAAAAAAACATGAAACCATAGACAATTTTTAGTAATTATTTAAATGCTATTTTTAGTAAATATTAATTATTAAAAAAGAAATTACAATTAATGATAAATATAATTATGTGTAATTATCACACACTTATAAATCACACAATTATAAAAGAAAAGTCTCAGATCGTTAATTAATCGTCAAAACTAAATTATCGGTTCAGAAATATTTAATTTCCTGATATACTTAGTTTACGAGAGTAAAATTATAAACGAGAAGAATCGATCCAGAAATGTTGCATTTCCATATCGAATATTTTCGCAACGTCACTGTTTAGTACTTGTCATAACGCTGCAACACTGAAATTGTCAAATCTGGAATCGAATTAAAATTCCGAGTGTAAGTGATGCTGCAACTTCTGACATGTGCGTTTTATGTCACATAACCGTAACCAATCGAACACATAACCAATTTGTTATGCTTTATGTGCCAGAAAGTGCACATATAAGATTGGTCTAATCGATTTCTATAGGAAAATAACACATATTTGTTTTTGTAATCGATGCCCTATCCGATTTGAAGGACATCTAGCTAAGAAAAAATAACTAAATAATTATTTGCACATATCAGTTTTGGCAGGCGCACTGATGCCATGGTTTGATTAAGGGTTAAAGTGTTGTCATAATCAAAATAAGTAAATATATTGACAACTCTAATCGATTTTATTTTGTATATGATTACAAAATTAATATAAGTGTACAGTCATTGTAAAGGTAAATTGCGGGGATTTTATAAATATTAAAGCGAGATTGATACCACTGTGGTGTGAAATAATTAGTATTTCACACACACACACACAGTAGTCGTATTGTTTTGCTTTCAAAACTTTTTAAGGCAATTTCACTTTGTTGGCTAACGATTCATATGAACTCTACGCAATCATATAAATTTTGTTTTATTATCTTGCTTTGGTTTCATATTAATCAAACATTTTTATCAAATTAACGATTATAGAACTAAATCAGTCATTTTAAATAATTTACGTGTGGAGTATTTATTATTTATTCAAGTAATCGATTTTAATTTTAAAGAGGCAACATTGGTGTTGGTGTCTCAAATTGAATTGTCATTGTCAAAAAGTTCAATGTTAATTGCGCGTGGTGCATGCTGAGTTTATTATTCGTTGCGATCTAAAGTTTGCCAAAGAAGAGAAAAAAAAAATACATATTACAGTTTTTTTGTGTTGATCGAGTCCTACTCTCCACAGTAATTGTGATATTCATTGTAACTATTTGTTTAATTTTATTTTCAATCACTGTCGCTAACTTTAATGAGAAATTGTTAATCTTACGCCGGACGTTTTTACGCCAGGAAGTTTTTATTTTCTTTGAAGTTTGTGTGTGATTCGTATTTGTTGTATTGTATTGTATTATACTACTTAGCGACTACTGAAAATGTCGACCACTTCGCGTGAGGCACCGACAACAAAAACAATCGACCGGCGAAACCGGTGTATCAACTGTTGCTTTGCAATCCTAAGAAACCAACGCAGGTATTCTTTGGAACAAGCTACTACTCAGATGATCGATGTGTTACAGTGGATAACTCCTACTTAGGTAAGCACATTCTTTTGACGTTTTCATTCTTCTCAGACAGTTTAAACTTACCCAGTCATTCGCTCGTTTTTATATTTTAATTTTTGCTTTTTATAAATGACATATTAAAAACTATAGATAAATGTTAGCATAAAATCAATGTCACAATGCTGAAATTGAAAGCACTCCATGCAGTAAGCATAAAATATAATTATGTTGTGCGGGCCCAATCAGTTTGGCTTGAATTCGGTAATTGTGATATTTATTTTCTCATTCTATTATACCATATTATAATGACCTTTTTTATATTTCATTTCAAATGTATTATTTTGATTGCAGCTGTCTCTAGAAGTATAATTTGTTCTGAGTGTTTTGGACTCCTTCAAAATCAAGTTAACACAATGAACAAAGGAATTGCTATGCCTTTGCCTGCTCTTGGAGAATCTGTTTTTCTTGTGGAAATTCCATTTTACAACCACCAAGAACATGATCGACAAGAAAGAAACATTTTAATGAGACTGGTTCCACTGCACTTGGTCATTATTTATTAGTATCTTATTGAGAATATGAAGTCTCTAATACAGAATCTGTCTACTTGGGCTAACAGAAAAATTATTTAAGTGCCTTATTTATTTTTAGGTTTCCAGATTGGAACGTGTATGTGCTGCATGTTGGAGATCAGCTAGGAGAGAAGTACAGAGGCAACAGCAGCATGATTCAAATCGTCCTTGTGTAGCACATGCCGAGTCCAGTGATGATTTCAATATTCCTGAGCCATCTCGTCTACCATCTTTAAGACCAGTAGTAGTTCAATTAGCAACACCAAAAATCACATCATCTTTATATAGACGTGCTGCAAACACGTCTGGCCACTGCATATTCGTTAATTGTTTTGAAAATGAACATCCACTTGTACCATGTGCTATAAAAGATTTATTATTATATCATTAATCATTATACATTCTTTGTACCATCTGGTGCACGTGATTGCCACCACTTGGATCACGGTTCTTCAAAAGAATGAATTCACCTCCCAATTGAATGATTTTACCGGTAGTCAATTTGATAATATTATGACTATAAATCAGCGAGCAGCTAATAACAGATTTGATTTTTAAATGTTACGATGATGCCTTCATATTTATGTCATTATTGGCTTGTATTCAATGCTGACCAGTTTTATGATTTTCTTAACAATATCCCAAATCTAGCAGAACAGGTACCAAATGCTTCCATAGCCTTGTGCATATATTTAGTTAAGAACTGGTGACAGCAATGAAAGGTTGGCTACTCTTTTTAATAAACCTCAAACCACTTTAGAATGGTGGATGTCAAAAGCAAGAAATGGTTTAATGAGTGATTTTGTCCCCTTGCACTTAGGATTTAATCATCTTACTGTAAAAGATGTTGCTTCTCGAAATAAGAGTATACCAGAAGGACTGTTTAGTAATCCTGATTTGCCACCACATGTTAAACCTGCAATAGTTATAAATGTGATGCCACCTATGTTTTTGTGCAAAATAGTTCAAATTATTTGTTTCAGAAACAAACCTACAGTTTATAAAAACTAGACAACTTAGTTAAACCATTTTTGATTGTGTGTTGTGATGGCCACATTGTGGAATGTCTTGGTCCATACAAAGCCACTCTTAATGATGCTACAATCACAAGTTTAAACTTAAATAATGAGGGATCTTCTATTACAACATTTTTTGGAAGAGGTGATATTTTTCTTCTTGATAGATTGGATTTTGAGATGTTATAAATTAGCTCTAAGAACACGGTTTTGTTACCCACATGCCAGTCTCTTCTCGAAAATGATCACCAATTAATAACCCAGCAGGCAAATCGGTCTCATCTAGAGGTAGTAACCATGTGGCGATTGCCACATATTTCGCACTTTCTCTGCAAACATTCTGTGTTATATGAATCGCAACACAACGTGGTTATTATTTCTTCTGGTTTCTTTTCATTTATTATAGATGCTTTATACAAAGCACTTACCAACAACTCCATATTCACATGAGTAGCACACATGCACGTTTCTCTATTAGCTGGTTTAGGTGGTAGTACCCAGAAAGGACGATTTTTGCAAAAAAATGAATAATGAATGCGATTATTGGTTTCATTTTTAAATTTTTTGTATAAATCTACAAACGGCGCTGTTAGGTATCGCTTTTGCATTCTTTTCTTATTTCTTGTTATATATTCTTTTTTTCCAGCAGCAACGGTACTATTAGCGTCCTCACAATGAAATGAAATGATTGATTTTACAATATCAGATATGCGGTTTTTACGACTTGTGGATTTAACAGATAGATTGTGTTCTTGAGTTGGTTTATTGTTTGTTTTATCTTTTGTGTCTTCGACAAGTAAATTCGTAATGAGATCAACTTTTTTCCGCAAATAAGCTATAATTTTACGTTGCGATTCATTTTTCTTTTTTAGCCTGTCTATTATAGAAATCATTACCTTTCTTTTTTTGAATTCTCTGTATATCTTACTTTTCTAACTGCATATTTAACTGCTGGACATTCAGGGCCGTGTTGCAAAGGATCCTCTTTTTCAGATCTTTCCTCAGCGTCGCTTAAAATATTTGAGACCGGGGCTGCTTCAACCTGAACTGTTTCTGATGTAACTTCTTTATTTAGCGATTCATTTTTTCTCTGTCGGTAATTTCTTGAATTCTCTTTCCATCTTCTCCTCTGTTCTCTTTGAGACCTAGGAGTTTTATCTTTGATCAGGATATTATTTTTTTCTTCTTTTCTTTTAAGGTATTGATTTCTTCGTTTTTCTTTTTCAATTGCAAGCAGCTCCGGATCATTTTTAATTTCGTTATAGCGTCTTCTTTTACATAAGCGCTGTTTTGCTAATCGCTGTTCTTTAGTCTGAGGCATTTTTCTTCCTAAAATTAAATATTTAAAATGTTAAATGTCCTTTTTATTACGGTTAAAAACAGTCCTTTAAATCTTATGCAGACATGCAAATGTGTTACAATAAATTATAGCAGCTGTGAGTTCATCTTCCTAGCCATTATCCCAAACTCCATTGGGGTCGGCTTCCAGTCTAACCAGATACGGCTGAACATCAGTGTTTTACACAAAGCGGCTGCCTCCTGACCTTCGCAACCCAATGACTGGGCGATACTAATGTTCTAGGGTTAGACTGGTAGTCAGACTTTCTGGCTTCTGACTTACTTTACCAGTAACAATTATCTTAAGATGTTCGAAAAGACAACCGGGACCGACATTACACTTTTGATTTATATATAGAAAGTCGAGTTAGTATAGTTATTGTATTAGAAAAACATAATATATATATTCCTTGAAATAACACCAAGAAAAAAATCTACACTGACGAAAATCATTCTTCGTAACATGCCATCATTTAAGTCAACGTATAAATCATTATGCGAAACTTTGTGTCATTCATCACAACGACAAGTTGCTTACAATGATGTAGCATAGAATGACCAGTTGAGATAAAAACCTGTATAGACTTGTCTGTGAACATAAGACCTCTGTAATGATTTTACTAAATGAAATCATTTGTCACTGGCTATTAAATACAAAACAAAGCAAACTTATACATGTGTACATTTAAGGAATTTAACTTGAAACACGAATGACAGTTTTGTTGACAAAATGCGAATAAATATCAAAATTTACTTACAGTTCTCAGATCCGCACGTGTTTCTCCAACTAACGTTTGCCGGCAACTGAGGCGCCCCCCCGCACACCCGAACGGGTGCATTAAAGTTTCGTTCAGAAATGCGTTGTTCAGTAATATGGTCAAACAATGTTAGTGCGACTAATGACGTTTTTCATGTAACATTAATTCAACTTTAGTTTTAAGATATATAATCCTCAGTAAATAAAGTTTTTTTTTTATATTAGAAGAAGGAGAATTTATTAAAGTATTTATACAGTCATACACAGATATTTTTTTTGAGTTATTGAATAATTTGCTAACAATTTTCTGTCAACAGAAGTTTTCGGAATAAGAGAATAATGACGTTTAGCAACTTTTTCGAAATGTTGTTCAGTAATAAAAGAAACTATCAGTTTGTTGAACTTGGTAAAACGTGAAATAAAGGTTAATGTATATAAAAAGCTTATCAATTGTGTCCAAAATTTTTAGCATAGTGAAAGAATTCGTCGGAAGACATTTCTAGCACTTTTCGAAGAATTACCCAGAGCAAGAAATTCTTAACAGAAAGAGAGCTAGCTTCCACACAATTGATGGTAATCATCCTCATTTGGATAGATTCCCACGACTCACAATTACTGACCTTAAGCGGTTTGCTCTAGGTACAGGTAGATAGGTACATATCAATTAAAACAGGCCAGATCTTACTTCGGGGAACATGTTCGTCAGTCTGGAATATATTCAGTGGAAGTAAATACTGAAATCGATGAGGATATTCCTCTGATTTTAGGCCTAAATAATTACATATTTGTTAAGAGGTAGGATTAAATCCAGGCATGTGAACAGTCGTACATATTACACGTATTTATTAATAAGCAGAGACGATGCGGTAGCAAATACATTACAAGCCATAGTAGGTTATTGTTGCAACTACCTTGTTGGTAAGCGAACTGTTAGCTGCTGTGCTCACATTATGACAGTGGTGTGGTTTTTGAGTTGGGCTCGATACAATGATATCACTGCTCCAGCATCTTATTTATATGATTTTTTTTGATGATTTACTTACCTACTTACTGTAAGGGTTCGATATACTATTAGTGATTATATACCTACCTAGGTACATGTTTAAAGTGCTACCAGTGTCACTGGATCAAATATTGCTGCTTCGACCGGCTGCGTTTCTAAAAAAGAATTTTCTGCTGCAGTCTTATCCACTGGTTTGGGCAGCCTCTCTATTAAGGCATTTACGTCAGTTGGGTAAATTGCACATTTTATGAAACCCGATTTTAAGTTTTCTTTTTTGTTTTCTTCTAAATCGTTTAGAAGTTTTTTTTAGTAAGAGCGGGAAGCTGCTCTTATGAACAGTTTTTCTCGAATACCTTGTTCGCATTGCTTCCATGTCGTTAGAATTTTCCGCTATGCAACTTTCATTGGATGAAAGAAGGCGACATCGAGGGGTTGCGTTAAGTGGGTGCTATTGGGAGGAAGACACACGAACCTTATGTTATTCTCTTTGCAAGCTTTAAGAACATACACTGAAATATGTGACGATAGATTGTAGCCTATGAGGATTTTAGGGCCTTCCTGTTTTTTGAGTTTTGGCAGTACAAGTGAGAAAAACCAGTCATTGAATATGTTCATGTCAAACCAACCGGAAGGACTACAATTGTAGCGGGTATTTTTTAATCCAAGTACTTTCGTCGATGAAGGTGGGTTTTGCAGACTATTTTTTTTAACGAAACGCAAACTTTTTAGTAATGGCTGATAAAAAGAAAAGAAATGTCAAAAACCGGAAGTTCTCATTCAGTGTTGTCAATTTTATAAAACATTTATCGGATGCGTTCAAAAATTTTTTAGATATATTTAGAGATTGTATAAGTCAAGTCACATATTTTGCATTGGATCCAGTCCTCATCGAATGTTTCACAACAAATAATGCACTCTGTTTCCTTATTTTCCGGCTTAGACGCAACCTTCTTCGCTTTCACCTGCACTTTCATTTTTTTTTTACCTTTGCCGCAGCTTTAGGATCTTTGGCTTTCTCCGTCAATTCCTTTTTGTAAGGCGAAGATGTCAAAATTTAGCTTCTTTGTGTTCTTCTTCTCCTAGCTGTTAATCGTTTCTTTGAGGCATCTGGAAGAGGTGACAAAACCTTCAGCACATCATTAATATTCCCAACATCAACACTTGGACTTAGCACAACCTCTTGTAAGGTTGCTGACGACTCAGCTGGAACTCTAATTGCTGGTTCAACGTTTGAGACTGCTTCATGAGATTGAATGGCAGCTGACGATACGGGCAGAGCACTGGTTGACGGTCCTGGTGTTTTCAAATGCTGTCGCGCTAGGAGCTTGAATCGTTGACTGGCTGGATCTATCTTCGATTGGTACGTCAGTTAACGCCAAACCTAAAAAGTCTAGGTCTGAAAATGTGTCTCGATTGAAGGGCTGGATACCCGTGAAACGGAAACCACTTTGGGCTATCTCTAATCTTGCAGCTTTCGTGAACGCTATATTTGTCAGTCCAGCGACGTCGTAATCAGTCAGTCGAGCACCAGGATTTTGACGCATCCACGATGCACCTGCTGACCCATAAGCTTGTTTGAAAGGCTTGAAAAACACGCGGTCTAATGACTGAAGCTTGTGAGTCGTGTGGGGCGGAGTGCTCAGCATGTGAATGTGATTTTCTCTAGAAAATTCTAAAACATTCAGATCTTTGTGGCTATTGTGTCCGTCTAATATTAGCAGAACAGGGTGATCTTCAGACGGATGGACATGCTTCTTGAAATGTTGTAGCCACTGGAGAAATATCTCCGCATTCATCCAACCGCTTTCAGAGGGAATACCAATGCTTTCTGGCGGTGAACCAATCGTAAGCCGACCGTTCCTATCCATTTTCTTCCTCCTCACCCAGGCGGGAGCAGTCATTCGATGATTTTCCCCCCTTAAAAAAAAAAAAAAGCCGACCGTTCCTATCCATTTTCTTCCTAGTGAAAATGAACATAGGGGGTATAAAATGACCCGATGCACTCATAGAAATCATGACAGTGATGTTGCGTCCTCGTTCAGCTGAAGTGAGTTTTCCAACCAGCTTTTTACCCTTCATTGACAAAACTCTCTCATTTTTGTGAACAGTCGATACTCCTGTCTCGTCAGCATTATAGAGGCTTGAAAATTAAATTTTTCATACAAAGGCGAAGAGGAGGTCATAAAATCGATCAACCTGTGGTTTATTGAAACCTGTAGAACGCATCAAGCTTGTTGCCTCAGAGGTTCTCAGTACCACGCCTGGATTTCTTTTCTTGAATTCACAAAAAAAATCTTTTCTAGCCATTCGTTTGTCTTTAAATCTGTGAGGAATTTTAATTTTTTCTGCTAAATTTTTACGCCTTGAAGGCATGTTAAAGGCATGAGACGATTATCTAGATTTACAACATGCTCACAAAGTTGTCTTTCAAACTCAGGTTTAAATGTTTGTTCAAAACATCCTAATTTTGGCCTAAGAGTGATCTGATGACCGTTTTTAATACCTTTGACCCGATCCTGTAGAGAAGTACGTGGAACTTCATACTGATCTGCGGTAGCTCTCTCAGAACATTTTTTCTCAAGCACCGCTTGAATTGCTTTTTTCATGTTTTCTTCACTCCAGTCTCCGCGATTCGTAGTTCTAGTTTTAAATTTCGGCATTGTGACGCTGCAAACAAATGTTTTTTTTAAATTAAGACTTAAAATAATAACAACAATATACAATAATAAACATCTAACATATGGCCGGAGGGGGTAACCCGACATGTCTTTCTTCGAAAAAAAATTATTTAAAAAAAGCAGCTAATTATACGGTAAAATAAACTTCAAAGTGCAAAATAGAATAGTATTCCATTATGTAAACAAAATCAAATAAACAATTACTTACGTTTATTCAATGAATATTGGTTTTCGAAACAATTGAAGATACGCGGCCGTCGCCAACGAAAAAGAAATTCACTCGATCACGTCCGAACGCAGCAGTCAATCGACTTCAACTGTTTGCATTTGACGAATTACTCGTAAACACACAAAGACCACACGAACTTCAAGGTCACACCGCGCGAAGTACCTCGTAGCCGGCCGGGGCTACCCCCTTTTCCCTAGGTTAGTTTAAATACAGTTACATGTAACTGAGTTTCGACAGAGTTTGGTGAAATTGGGTCTTATTGTGCCATTTACAAAGAGAAAATGAAGAAACCTTCGTTTGAAGAAGATGATGAGATAGAAGAAGTGAATTGCCTTCAACACAAGGAAGTTCTACCTCTGTTGAAATGTCTGAAGTCTCATCAGAAATCCACACTAAAACTATAAGTACTACTACATCATTTGTTTTAGTTATGTGAATCTTCCACCTTTCTAACGCCGCGGCGTTTGATTTTTTTGCGGGATAGCATTCCGATTAAATGGATAAATGCCCCCTTTCTTAAAACCGTTTTGTATTACCGTTGGGCTTGTTTGGTGCCATGTTTCAGTAACATCGCCGCAAAGGTGTTTTTTCCGCAATTTAACACCGATGTTTTATCTCTGATTTTGGACAAGTCTTTTGTCCCAATTTACTTTCAGGGATTTAAAAACTGATAAATCTAGCGGCTAAAGGAGGTGGGACGTGTGTGCTGGGAGTTTTAAAATCGTTATATTCTTTTCTACGGCTAATTCTATTATTTTGGTGTCAATATGTGTAACGTAGCCATCGTATATCAATAAGACTGGTCTTTCATCTTTCAAGCTAGACACTACGATTTTTGACATATAGTTATAGAAAATGTCCGTTTCCATCCAGCCGCGTTTACTTGCGGCGTAGGAAATGTCAAAACCAAACTCTTCGCTTTGTTCCGCTATCCATTCATCGTAAACATATTTGCCTTTATATACAATTAAAGGTGTACAGCTTTTTCGAGCTGCTTTGACAGTCGTCAATACCGTTATATTCTCCTTTCCCGTACCTGCTGTTGTTCTAGTACATGGTTTACCAACAGCGCCAACAACTTTCGGTTTAGTGAGATCCAAAGACACATGTGTCTCATCCAAATTCCAAATTATATTTGGATCATTAAGATTCAACTCCCTGAGAATATTTTCGAGTTGTTAGAAATATTCGTAGATTATAAATGGATATGTCATTTTTTTCCGTAAATATTCCTCCGGTTGAGTTTTCGTTATAGATAAGTTGTAGCGTTAGCCGAAAGCAGAAAACCAGTCATGACCTGGATTGGCGTCTTTAAATGGTGTTTTAAGTTTGTTTTGTCTGACTAACTCTGCAGTCATCTCTAGAACTTCTTTGGATAGCCCCCATCCCCATTTCTCGAGCGTCCGAAGAAAAGAAGCAAGTTTGGCTTCCATTTCAATTGAAAAAACGGGTGGCATTCCGAGAGTTTAGCTGTTGAGGCCTGTCCTCTTTTTTACATGATCATTCCACGTCGATGTCGGGATACCGTAAGTTTTTGAAGCTGCGTAGTTACTTAACTCATTCTTTTCTACTCTCTCTATAGCGATTTTTAGATCTTCTTTGGAGTACGAGGCACGTGATGTTTTTTTTGTACATTTATTTGGCATATTGAACTGAAACAAAAATATAGGAAATAGAAAATTATAATTTCATTACTAATGATCGCGCAAAGGTGTAAAATTTTGCGGAATATGTATATTAATATGAATATTGCTTTATTTAAACTATAAAATTATATCATGTGTACCTATCACTTTTTAGCTTGCCGGTATTGATAAAACAACAGTAGTTTCTATATCTACATACTCAATTTTGAAGACAGCTATCAATAAAACAAATTATCATACTTTTAAAGTAAAACTTGTAAAGCCGGTCATTTGGGTCAGCCAGTGTATTATCGGAGAAGTGAATAAATTTTAGAATCAGCTCAAACCGGTTTCTAGGCATTATATGCATGATACAGTCCTCGGTCCTGCTTGTGGTAATGGTCTCAGATCTTTGGGTGTTAAATCATTAGGCTGAGAAGAATTTGCTTTCTGTAACCCCCTAGGTCCTGGTGTAGGCGAATGGAATCGTTGATTAAATGATAATATATTTGACAAATCGTTGTTAACTGTATATCTGGGTCAACTTGGGTGGTGGTTGTTGCATCAAAACTAGTCAACACGTCATTAGATGGAATTTCACTGTTTATTTGTAAAAGCCGATCAGATACAGACGATGGTGCAATTCAACAGCTGTAAATAAATTTCTATTATATGGACTTATACCGGTACAGGTAAATCCGGCTATTGCATTTCGATCAGTGACTAAAGCAGGAAATGCTTTTCTGACAATTCCAGGAATATAATGGATAATCATTGTTTGACCAGGATGATGACAGCAATACTATTCCATTTTTTTTTTGCAGAAATCTAGAGCTTGGATAGATATATGCGATGCATGATTGTCGAGCAATAACAAGCATTTTTGATCAAGTGTTGGCTTGACTTGTCTTTTAAAGTGTTTTAGAAATAGTAAAAATTCTGCTTCCTGCATCCATCCACTACCATTGCCAGCTCCGGCACAACCAACAGGTCCTTCTCGTATCATGTGCTCTTGGTATCGCTTTAATGGGAAAACAAAAATGGGAGGTATGTGTCCACCTTGAGCATTAATCGCAACAGCAACAGTTACTAATCTCCCACGTTCTGCTGACGTTATTGCGCCTCATTCGTTCAATTCGTTTTTAAGCTAAAATCTTGCTAGGTCTTTTCAAGATTCATGATATCTTTACTGGCTTTCCCCCTTTTAGCCATTACTTTTCTGTAAAGAATCCAGGCATTGATGATGGTTAGGTCCAACAGATGGTAAATTATTCTCATGTACCATTTTCTGCTTTTGATACGAATTCTGTACCTGCCAAGGTGAGAATCCATTAGGTCGACACCTCCCATATGTGCATTATACTCTTTTACGAGTTTGGGGCAAGGAATTTCGAGTTTTCGTTTCATTTTTTTGTCATACCTATTGATTGTTCCCGCAGGTTCTGCACCTACATAAGTGGATGCTAAGATAACTTGTTTATTGTCCTTCCTGCTTTACTGCAGCTACGTCCACATCATTAAAATTGGTGACATATTCCTCATATGTTCCTCGAGGTACAGAACTTTTCATTACGTCTTTTTTATCAGGCAATTTACAACTTTTCCCCAAACGATTTCGCTGTATGGTTCCTAACGAATGGATTCCCTCAGTGGCCAAATGATACAATAGGGGCAAAGACGAATAATAATCATCGAAATATACGATATGGTTTCTTTGCCTATGAACTACTCTGAGCAACCTCATGACAGTTTGTCCAACCACTCCTATGTCAGGTTCACTTGGGAGTCTCTCGTCATCTTTTTCTTTACCCGCGTATATTATAAAATTATATGAATATCCTAGTAAGCTATAGAGGACATATAATTTGAAACCCCATTTGTGAGGCTTGTTAGGCATATACTGTTTCAAAAAGTGTCCGATTTTTGTTGAACACATTTGTTCATCGATTGACAAGCGTTGGTCTATCATAATACTGGAAAATTTGTTGTTCAAATGTATTATCTTATATTTTGATGAATTTTGTTATTTTCTTTATGCTTTTATGTTTGCTATTGATGTTATCTATTTGTGTAAGTATATGTATTTTTTTATTTTTCATAATCTTTGTTTGTGTGCCATGTGCCAAATAAATGCTTTTTCTTTCTTTCTTCTCTCTTTCTTATCACTGGCCGCAATTTATGCAATTTGTCGTGTTCTGGATGGTCGCCTGGGCGATGTTTTGAATCGTCATTGAAATGCAATATTCTCCTGATTTTCTCAAATTTATTTACTGGCATAGTATCTCGTATTGGGCCAAACCCAAATTTGCCCCAGTATGATCGAATATTGGGGTAGTGGTAAACTGACATAAAAGTTATAATCCCTAAATATTTTCGCAGCTCCTCTACTGTGAATGTTTCTACCCTATTAGGTTGTTTCTGAGTTGTATAAAAGTTTGATTCCTGAACAATAGATTCTAAGAACTCATTAGTGAAGAAGTACGTAAAAAATTGGTAAGGTATATCTAATTCCAAAATATTAGAAGATAATTCTTCAGAACCTAAAAAGTAATTTTTCCTTCAGAATAGACCAAATTTTGTTTTCTCCATAGTAGATTTCTACCTCCACTTGGCAAATAATTAGCGCTTTCAGAACTTGAAATATTAGGTACTACTGTCACAATTCGCGTCGTCAGTTGTTAAGGGAGGATCAATAACATGGATATCTGTAAGAGCTGGATCAATGTCTTCACCATCACCACTTAATGGTTCTAAAGGAGATTCTTCTAACTCATCTAAAAGCTCTTGACGAGACGGATAATAATCTAGGTCTTCCCCGTCGGATTCCATTTCATTGTCAGAAATTTCACCACTTTCTAGCATGCGAAGCATTTCTTCTATATTTTTGTCATCCATAGCTAAAAAGCAACACAATAATATGCAATAACCAACCACCCAGTAAAGTAAAAAAGCAAATAAAACTTTTGAAACGTGTTAGAACAGGTAAGCACTTAGCGGAAAAAAATTGTACGAAAAATGCATGAAGGGTCGTTTTCGGCACAAAGATATTTTGGCGTTTTTACGAGTCAATGATTGAAATTTGAAGTAAAACTAAGAATCAGCACATAATTGGATCAACTTACCTGCTAAAATAATATTTTTATTCGAGAGAATATAATAAACGGATTAAGATTTTTTGAATTGAACTTCACTAACTTCGCTTGGCGCTAAGTCCTCAAACTTCAGACAGACATAATTCAACAGATATAATATACTGGTAATGCAGACTAAAGGCTGATATTCTCGTATTTTTTTCTTTATAGATGACAGATTAAAAATGCAACAGCTAATGACATGACAGTTTAATATTTGGCGGGTTATTTGAACTTTAAGCTATTGTGCCGTATTCGGCACAACATGCATTTAGGGGTTAAATTGTGATAAATAACTGACAGAGTATGCTATGTCTGGTCTAGTCATCACCGCTAGATACATTAAACATCCTATTAACCTTTGATATGGAATATTATCTTTACACATACTAGATTTTTCAACATTTAATTTACATTCAATAGGTGTGTGACAATCAGTCATATTAAACTTTTGCATCAACTGCTCAATATAATGCTTTTGATCAAGTGTTACAACACAATTCTTTCTATCAACATTAATATTCATGCCTAGATACTGTTTAACGTTACCAAGATTCTTTATTTTAAATTTTACACTTAAAGCTTGAATTAAACTTTCAGTTTCCGACTTTACATTTGAAAATATTAGGAAATCGTCTACATTAAGACCTACTATCACCTTTCTACTAGTATTCCAATCTTTTATAAATACACAAGG